TGATTTATATATCCTAATAGAGATATAGGTTGTTTATATATGCAACCTCATTTAATGTTCATGAAAATTCTAAGAGATAAGTACTTCAGAGTCACTGGGATTGCAGGCATCCCAGATTGCAGTTTATCCCCCTTTAGAAATGTGAAAACTAAGGCTTAGAGAAGCTAAATGATTTTCCCAAAGTCACACAGATATTAAGTGATAAAGCAGGAGTCATTTGAGGCAATCTATCTCTAGAGCAGTATTGAGGATCCCAGAAGAAGTGACAGGTGGGAAGAGGGATTTGGTTTTTGTACCATGCATATTAGTTAACTTTCCATTACTATAACAAAAAACTTGAGATAATTAACTTATGAAGAGAAAGGTTTATTTTGGCTCATACTTTTAGAGATTTCAGTTCATGATCGATTGGCCCTGTTGCTTTGGGCCTGTGGTGAGGCAGTACGTTATAGTGGGAGCAAATAATACAGCAAAGCTGTTCCCTTTTTGATCAGGAAGTAAAAGAGAATGAGGAGTGGTCAGAGTCCTACAGTTTGTTTCAAGGGCACACCTCCAATAACCTGAAGACTTCCCACTAGGCCTCATCTCTTAAAGGTTTGATTTCCACCTCCCAATAGCACCAAGCTGGAAACCAAGCCGGTAGCACACGAGCCTTTGGAGATATTCAGGATGCAAGCTATAGCATACTACTTAAAACACATAGAATAATTTTGTCATTAAAAAGTTAATTTTTTTCAATATTTTATGGATGCATTATAATTATATATAATGGTGGGATTTGCTATTACATATTCATACATGCACACAAGTTAATTTTTAAAAAACATGTTAGATATCCTCATCTCATTTTCCATTTGCTAATTATCACAGAGGAAAAATGTGAGAATAAGATTAAAAAATTAACAAGTTTAGTTTCATGTTGCTAAAATGTTTTCTCATTAAGTTACTTGGAAGAACTTAATAAATACATTTTTTTGCATTAAATTTACTAAACAGATAATGTTGAATGTCTTTTATTTCTCCTGCACTGTTAAAACCTTAATTTTCAAATATACCTTTTGTCTATAGTGTTAACTCTCAAACAAGTTTCATAATCTCATATATCTTCAAGTTTTCCTTGTGAAAAATCATGTAATCCATGGAATGACCTGATTTGATTCATTTGGGGACAAAAAAAAAAAAACCCCAAAATAATCTTATTAACCTCTTGTAGCCATTTGGTAAAATTAGGAAGGCAGGTCAATTCCCAGCTTTCCCTGACAAATAAGAAAATGGAGAATTCTCCACTTCTCTCATTCTAACCTAAATGATAGAGAAATTCTAAAGATTTTATCTAAAGATGAAATCTAACAATGCATTTTCTTTCATCAAATGTTCATTTTACCATTCAAATAATTCTTTCAATGCTATCTAACTATTTGTCCTATACTAAGTCCTTTCGGAAATGACCTGCCTGCACATGGATTTTCCCACCATAAGAATATTGTCAGCCCCTGGTCAGGATAAGTGAATGAAGATGACTAGCATCCTCAGAACCTCATTAATAACATTACTTCCTTTTCTCCCAAAGGAACTAATATATTATAACCAACTAAGAATAAAATGGATTATGCTTTCTGCAAGTGTTCCATTGATTAATTAGATTAGTAAAAGGTATTGTGTGTCTCTGCAGTGCTGAGCCACTGTACAGTTCTCTTGGACCAAGACAGAATAAGCAAGTAACAGACCCAATACCCCATAACCAACCAACAATAAAGGAAATTCATAAGACAATCAATTAAGATGTGTTTTCTCCCTTAATTAACTTCTGCTCTAGAAGACAAGGCTACTCAGTAAGTCATCATATTATGATTGCTAATTGCTACTAATATAAACAAGAAATATGGGCATGCAATGGAAGAATGTGTGTGTGTGTGTGTGTGTGTGTGTGTGTATCCCCTATTAAAATCTCTTCTTTTTCTCCTCAACACTGTATTTTGAAGTTTATATGGTATTCTGCATTACATCTTGGCTTGCTAATGAATGTTTGAATGTTTTGTTTTATTTTACCCTTTGTGTCTTTGTGATTATTGCTTTGGTTGAACCGAGGTTAATTTAGTTAAATTCATCAATATTTTATGATTCATTATTTTGGGGATCATTTAGGAAATTCTTTGCTACTCTTAAATTCATAAGGATAATTTTTCTATTTTTCTAAATTGATAGTCTCCTTTTAATATTTATGTCTCTCCCTCTCTATCAGTCTCTGTATCTGTGTGTGTGTGTGTGTGTGTGTGTGCGCATGTGTGTATGAGTGCACCGGCACACACATCTGTATGATCACTCCTCCCAATCTACACTGTTTTACTTGGTCCGTTGGCCTTGGCTCCACGTCTCTGAGAGGCGGAAGTAGGTCTGGTCCCTGAACCACAGAGGTTTTCATGCTTTAATTCCTAGTCAGGCAGTGCTTTTCTCCCAACCCCCATCTGGAACTGGTATATCTTTTCCAAAAGGTACCTCCACATAAGAACAAAGCACAACTTACTGTTTCTCACCCTGTTCTCAGGAGTGGATGTGCAGTGTTTCTAGTGCTGTCTGTTCTTCTGCTTCTGCCTGCTCTCTCTGACTTGGCAATCTATGTATCCATCCATCAATCTATCTAGTTGAAATCTTTCTTTGGAGACTTTCCATTTCTTTCTGCTTTCTCTTTTTATAGTTGTACTGTGTTTAGAGAAGAAAAGATACACCAAACTTAAACTTCTAGCACTATTTCGACCTGGCATCTAACTCTTTTTCTTTATCAAAATTTATAGGAAGAGTAGACTTTGTTAGGTAGAGAAGGCTAATGAGAGAAGAATCTATGCGAATACACAGAGATGGGGAAAAGAGAGACATTTGGGGAATTGGAAGTACTTTTTTACAACAACAAGGGCATCTGGGGAGATGACAGCAGAAATGCCTAGAGGATAATGATATTCTTGGAGAGGAATGTCTTATCTTCCCACAGCCCCAGCAATTGCCACTCCCCTAACACACATGCAAAAGATCCAAAGATTTCACAAATGGTGTGGCCCTACTTCGTGTACAACCAGAGAAGTGAAAAATTGTGCCCTATTTGTGTACAATGAATCGAAGAGCATTCTGCTGTCATGTATAACTGATTAGTATGAATGAATGAATAAATTAGAATTACTCTATAGAGGACACCACAGATTTAAAAATGTATTTATATCGATTCAGTGAGGCAGAGGGTACTGGTATCTTTATGTTAATTCTAGAAACAAGAAAATTGAGACCCAAGAAGTTTAAATGATAGATTAGAATTAAAACCCAAATTCTTTTTTGCCTATTCTCTTGTTTCCAACAACTACAATTCAGAGTGTATGCACACACAGCAAAAAGATGCCCACTTTGGGCTATCTCACTTAAAGCAATAAAATCAGAAACAAAATGAAAAGAGAAAAGTTTCTTTGACACTCCTTGAATTTGCTTTTTTTTGCCTCTATCTCCTGCTGTTCTTCATTCTAGGTTCTGAACGTAAAATCATAGGTAGTCCTTTATACTTGCTTACTTTTTCATACAAAAGACTGAAAAGTTCAATGTTCTATCTTCTCTGTGTATTTGCATTATTTTACTATGACAAAGGAAATAAATCCTATTTTAGTAATATTAACATACAAAGGATACATATTTGGGTAAAATCTCCTTAAATCACCTGACTTCAACAATTTTGTGTTCTTACATATAAAGAACCAATCTGTTTTAGCAATAGATTTCAACTCAGTTAACTCAGTTTTAAGGGCCTCAAATTAGAAGTTAGTATCTTTGTTAACAAAATTAATTCTCAGAGTTAATACATAGTTCTGAGAATAATCACTCATTTACTCAACAAATATAAATGATCTCCAACTTACAATAGTTTATGATTTTTAAATTTTATGATTATATAAAAGCATACCTACTGTTGTGGTTTTCACTTTCTGTACAGTATTCAGTAAATTATATAAGATCTTCAACCACTCTATTATAAACCAGGATTTGTGTTAAATAGTTTTGTCCAATTGTAAGTATTCTGAGTATATTCAAGGTAGGCTAGGCCAAGCTGTGATATTCAGTAAATTAGGTGTATTAAATATATTTTTACTTGCAATATTTTCTACTTAAAATGGAAATACCCCCATATAAGTCCAAAACCATTTATTGTCTAATTTAATTAGTTAACAGCAATTGCTATGATATAAAAATTTTATTTAGAGCTAATGCATATCAAGGAATGTAATCCTTGATCAAAGCACACTTATTTCTGAAATTCTGTTACATTGTAACTTACTAGAAAAAAAATACAGCATAATGAAGAAGGCTAAGACCAGTTATTTCAGGTGACAAAATGTAAACTTGACATAGTTTTCTGAACTCAAGTTTTATTTGAATAATTGTATAGTTCCCTGTCCCCTCTCAAAGCAGAGCAATAAACCATTTCCCTATTTTCTTACTCTATTTATATCATCCCTAAAAACTACTTTCCATAATTCTTACATATCTGTACACAGAGAACGAGAGGTTCTTAGAAACCTCACTTAGTAAGATGTTCCCATCTTTATAAATCACGAAAGAACAATTTGAAGCCTCCCACCTAAACTATGAGTCTCCCTATTTTCTTATTCATGGCAAAAAGAGAAATGTGGCTTCAATTCAACAGTAAGTTATGATCCGTCTATTATTATTTCTCCACATTTTTAAATAGTAAAAATACTATTCTCCCCTCCCCACTATAACAATAGAAAAAGTCCCTTCCTCAGGTATAATTCTGAGCAGGGCTTTAATCACTGTTGTTGTTTTCCTCTGATATTAATGAACAATAAATGAGCCAAGAACCAAATTGGAGCTTTGTAAATGTGTGCTTATGAAATAAATTGAACTTCCCTGCAGACTTTACAGACTCTGAAAATGCTTTCCCTAAATGTCTTGAGTGAGAAAGACAAAGTATAAACAATGGTGAATTCTGTGCTTTATTCCCCCAGGTTTTCAGGGTGTGGGATATACAGACTCTCTCCTTGTTACAAGTCTTCCATGACAGCCAGGGAGGACCAGGAGACATGCAGATTTATTCTATGATATATGATACCAATCATGGCATGCTTATTGCAGGTAAGCATACCCAAACACAGGCAAATAAAACTCACCCCTTGATTTTTAACCTTTAAAAAAATTAATACTTGAGCACTTACTATGGAACAAAATGAGAAGGGGAAATAACCAAGCATCATTTACCACAGTAGATATTTCTTTTTATTCCATTCTTTCTTATTATTATATGGGTAGATGGATGAAATGTGTAACTGCACTTTTCTGAATATATCAGATTAGTTCTTTAAGTCCTCGAAGCTAAGAACACATAGCCTGTGTGAAGCAGCAAAGAGGACTGTAAACTGTTGCTACATCTAGGGGAAATCCAGTCCCATATGCAGCTCTGTTTTGACCTTGGATAACATGAATGTGATCCTGACTTAGAATGGTGACCCCAGCATGCACCAGCATTAGCCCCTTTTCCACAGTGAGACAATTTGGCCCCATGAATTCTGGTAGCACCCAGTTACTCAGAAATGATACAGACCCTCCCAGCTGCATTTGCTTCTAAACAAATTGCAGTGGAAAGAGAGACTAGGATCCAGTGCTGATGCCAACAGATTTGTTACCAATTTTTATTGTGCCCTCTTAGACACACTATATCGACAAGATACCCTGCTAGGCATTTAGTTGAACACTGTTCATTTGCGCATCCTTAGGCTTTAGAAGAAAAACTGAATGATATTAATAGTAGTCCTTCCTTCTGGAATACTAAGCCAGAATTACATTTCCTAAGCATATTCTCACTGACCACCTGCTCTGAGTTCCTGTGGGATTAATTAAAATAGGGAAATGACTAGTGCTATCTCTGATGGAGAAAATAATTATTTTTAACCTTTGTGTTGATTTTTCCTCTCTGGATTAGGAGTGACCTAGCACCTCAAGCTGGATAAGTAATTTTCCACCTCATAAAACAGAACTTATTTCCAGTTGTAAGCACCCTTCTTTTATATGACCTCCTCTAAAAACTGCTGGCAAATTTTCTTAGTGTCCCAACTTGCATGTTTGACTACTGGATTTGGCATTTCCATCTCACTTACTATCAGAGTAACTACTAAGTTTCAAATCAGAGTATAATATACCAACATAAAAGAAGGAATAAAAGAAAAATCAAGATTCTTCCTAATTTTATGTAATTTTGGTAGTATGTCTGCTTGTAAAAACAGAACTCTATGTGTATTGCTTAGCCACTAAAACTGCATGTGTTGACTATAGCCATGAACTTGACATAAGAATTACATGAAACTTATTAATTCATGCTTTATTCACATGAAGCTTCCCTATATAGTAGTCTTCTAAGCTACAATGACAGCAGTACCACATTCTGGAAATGCTTTGCAGAATATGTTGTTACTGGCACTGTCATTATCATTATCATTCTTATTAAGGCAATGACAACTGGTATACTCTTTTTTTTTTACTTTATGCAATTCCATATGAAATGGAAATTATTAACTTTTTATTTTGTAAATAGCAAGATAATCTCAAACAGTTCAGTTCAACTGATGAAGGCTAAAATATAGTACTATAATTTGATCTTAAAGCTTCTGACTCCTAAATCCATATTCATTCTCTGTACTGCATTGATTCCATAGTTGTAGTACAACCAACCAAAAAAGTAGAAAATTGCCCCATGTCCATAAGCATATATAGCTTTGTTGCTGTGAATTTTAAATAAAGTTAGTTATTGTCACTGTAATGTTAAGAAATCTACCAAGAAGTTCCAAATGTGGTTTGATTATCTGGTTACCAGATGCCTCTCACATTTCCATATTGAAGTATTCAAATTGAGAAATATTTCCAGTTGAACCATTTCAGTCTTTCTTCACACATAAACAGATTTTTTTCTTAAAATGTAAGCACCTTAGGAAAGTGTTTAGTAACTCCTGCTAAAACTTTTAAAGTGGAGATTTCTTTGGAAAGATTTGAAAAATTAAATGAAAAATAAGTCTGCTGATGGTAACTTAATCTCCACCTCAATAAAATGGGGAAGAAGTTTTATATTTATCTTAATGACAGAATGCTTTGATATTGTTATTAATATTTCTATATATTACACTAAAACAGAACATAACATTAGTTGATTTTGAGAGTCAATACTTGATATTTATAGTACAGCTATAAAACCAAACCAAATGCCCTCTTAAAAGTGCAAGAATCCCTGCTCTCTATCTCTTGGCCATACTAACTGCATCTGTCACTATGTCATTTTGGAAATTAACCTTTCTTACCGATATTGCAAGCACTGGCTTACAATTATTCCCATTCATTATATTTAGTAAGATGGCACTCACGGAGTGATTTATCATTTGTTGGTTGAAAAGGACTCTCTAACACTAATTTCAACCACTTATTAGAAGTTCACCTTCAGCAGAAAATTGGTCATTCCCATCACTGCATCAGTGCACCAAATGGAAGGACATTAATAGGCATGATAGAGAAAGGAAAAAGTGTACTATAAAACGCTAACTGTTCTGAATTCATAATTAAGGTGAGTACATATCGGCTCTTTTGAAAGATAAAGGCAGAGCAAATGTAATTTTCTCTTCTTTGTGTGATTACATAAATCATCGAATGACTAAGTAAATATGGTGCATATGATGAGACTGTACATTGGAACTCCTTTTAAGCTTTAATTGGGGATCACTAGAAAAGGTATGCCAGTGAAGTCCAAATGACCTGCACTTGAAAAAATAATGAAGTTCAAAATAAATGCTTTATTTGTCAAAAATGTTGTAGAGTAATTGGATATATTTTCACCTTCTTAAGTTTCCTGGGTGTTGATATTATTAATCTCACTGATTGTGGTTGGGTAAATTCCAAAGGTCTAATATTGAATACTTATGAGATGCTTACTTCTGTTTCAGGATCAAGTGTTATAGATATGTATCCTTTAACTAAGATGATACAGGATACAAAACAGGTTCCTCACACTCATGATCGAGAAATCAACGTCATACTTTATAACACATATTTTGCCCAAGTACTCACTATCTGTTCTGAATCCATAATTAAGGTGAGTACATATGGGCTTTTTCAATAGATAAAGGCAGAGCAAATGGAATTTTCTCTGCTTTGTGTGATTATATAAATCATTGCATGACTAAGTAAATGTTGTGGTGCATATGATGAGATTGCACATTGGAACTCCTTTTAAGCTTTAATGAATACATGAAAAACAAGCATTTTAAGCCAGCTCATATTTCTTGCTACCAAGTCACATGCTTATTTGAATAAATAAGGCTACTTTCACTATCATTTTAGAAATGTAAAAAGGAAATATAGCCCGATTCCATTTTTCCATTCACAATTGAACTGTGAGTAGACAGTGTATGCTGAGAAGGAGGGAAAGAAAATTGATATATGTTTGCTATGACCCCTATAGGAGGATGCCAAGAGCATATTGTCCGTGATTCATGAAAGTTCTCTGTGGACAGATGAAAACCCATTTTAATGAAGTTCAGCTCAGAGCTGAAGTGACTTCCCCCAGATAATATAGTTAGTAAACACGAGGACTGGGATATGAACCCAGGTTTACCTGCTGTAAATCCTCTTGACTTTTATGCTCCACCCCGGTAGCTCCACTGCTGCTGTGTGCAGAGGCTGGGATACCTGCCTGTGCTAACCATGTCTGTCAGTAATCACTGCTATTGCCTGGCATCAATAGCTAGAGTTTTTTGCAACAGGTATTTCACACATATTCTCTAAGAGGAGAGAGACACATGAACTGGTAAAATGCATTCCTCAAGAAACCCTTCAAATTCCCTCTCAATTTTTGATATTTTGTGCACATCTGCTGGAAATTTTCACACCAAATAAAGGAGCTCCTGAGCCCAGTTAGTTAATTATCACTTAAGATAATTTTAAAAGAAAGTAACTAGACAAAAAGTAAAACTAAGATCTATCCTGCTCTCCTACAATAATGGCCTCTTAAGGGGAAACTTTCCTCCCTGTGCAGTACAAAAGAGGGAAAAGGAATTCATCTAGGTAGTGTTTATACCTGATTGGGTGGAGAGGGACTGTACTTTAGGCTGGAGATGGATGACCTAAAAACCCATTCATGCAGTGACGGAGATTTCTCTTTTTCCTTTGAAGACCTTATCTATACCCAGGGACACTCAGAGGTCGAGAACATGAGCTGTAGGACCAGGGTGACTTTACTCAAATCCTGGCTGTACTACTTCTCAGCCAGCTGCCCTCCATTTTCTGGCTCTCAGATTATTTCATCAGTTACATCTCCTCGCATGGTCTCATCACTTAACTTTAACAGCTCTCTTTCCCTGGAGGAAAAATACAGTTTCCCATCTCTGACCTTTTGTACAGTTGCCCACCCCCCAAAAATCTCAAGTGTAATCACCTAGTAGTGCTAGCTAAATTTTGTAATTTAGTTGGAAGTCTAATTTACAAGGGGGAGAAATTCAGAAAGCAAGTCTACAAATATAGGTTTCTTGCTTCTTCTATGTTACCAAAGAGAGATAAAGATGAATTTTGACACATTTCTGGATTTTCTAATTACCTCCAGCCTAATTTCACAGATGGCCCCTTCTGAGTCTTGCCCTACCCTTCTCTCTCTTTGCTTCTCCCTCTAGGTTTGTGTCTCTAGTCAGAGAACTACTTAGAACAATTAGCGAGCTCTTGCCTTAGGACTCTCTCACATAGCAAGCTGTTCACATATTCTGTCCCATGATCCCTGGCTCATTTGTATGTATGTCATGGAAATACATTCAATTTGATCTTTTTGTCTGCCTTGCTTTTGTTACATCTTTATTTTGCTGCTAACCTTACTTCCCATTTACAGTAATGTGTCAATCAGCTATCTATCGCTATAACAAAATACCTGAAACAGCCAACTTATAAAGAGGGAAGGTTTATTTTGGCTCATGGTTTTGGAGGTTTCAGTACAATGGTAGGTTAGCCCCATTGCTTTTGGGACTGGGGTAAAGTAGCACAACATGGGAGGAGTGGAGTGCAAGGTAGAGTAAACTGCTCACCTCATGGACACCAAGAAGCAAAAGAGAGAACGAGGAGGATCCATGTCCTACAATCCATTTCAAGGCACATTCCCAAAGACTGAAAACCTCCCACTAGGGTCCTATTACCTCCCAATAACACCTAGCTGGGGACTAAGCCTTTAACAGATGGGCCTTTGGGGGAAACTGTAAACCCAAACTAAAGCAAGTAACAACTGACCACTTTCCCCACAGCCAGAGACTGCCTGGAATGGAAGCCGCTGGCTGCCTCTGCCACCTACATTTATAGCGGGCCTACTGCATGATAGCATAATAACATTTAAACAGCTCTGCGTTTATTCAGAGCAAACCAACGTCCTTTGATCAAACCAGCCCTTAGGGCAGAGGATTGGGAAAGGTTGGAGACAGGCAGAGTACAAATTTGGAGGCTGTCTTGAATATGGTAAAAATTTGTTAAGAATTGAAAAGCATATGTATTTATGTATGAGATTACTTGATTTTGTGGTTGTCATTATTTTCTGTAGGTATGGGAACTTGAGACTGGCCTCCAAATATACCAGATTCTAGACCCTCATGGCTTCAGTATTGAAGTGACTTCGGCAGCTGTTGACGAAAGTGGATATTTTTTTGCCACAGGAGCATATAATGGTCAGACTAATATCCAGAATATGGCCTCCCTGCTTAATGTCTTGAGAATTTGTGCTAGGAATGCAAGTTTGGGGGGGTTGAAGAAAGAACATGAATCAGGCTGGAACATGTAAACATGCCAGAGTTTGCTCTGCCTCAATGAACAATGATAGAGTGTCTTATGTGTAATAGACATGTCTTGATATTGATGTTAAAAATAATATTGCATTTGTATAGTGCTGTAACTAATTGCAAAAGTCTGTCACATACAGTATCTCATTTAATCTTTGGTAGGAAGTATCTGTGTTGCACTGACTCATTCTATCCTATTTTTGGGGTACCATCAGCTAAAAACCAGACATTAGATCCAATTTTTTGGACCAGAAAATATCCAGCTAACCTTGACATAGCATGCCTAGAATTTTATATTGAACTTGTTTCTATGTCTAAACTCCTTAAGGGCATATACCATGTCAAACTTAGGAAAATGTCAGGCTCCAGATGTGAAATTTTATTTTGTGTTTCTCAAGCTGTGGAGCACTGCATAGAATTTCTAGGAACTAGAAAGCTACTGACTGCCCAGACTTTCATCTTACCTTGTTCTGAATTCCCACAAAAGTGTGCTTTATGTGCATGGCCAACTGAATGTGCAACTCAGAATATGTTGATTCTAGGGATATATTTACTAAACAATTGCTTATTTACAAGCCAATTGATGGAATCTAAGTAAGTAATCTAATGGAAAAGTTTGATTTTTGAAAGTGAGCAGAAGATAATGCAGCATGAAATAACAATCATTAATACTGAGACAAAAGGTATGAATAAATGCAACTGGTTTTCATATGGAACAGTACATAAGAAAGCAGTGTGAATAAGCCATAAGCTTACCCTACATACATAGAAAACTTGGTAATAATAGAAATTCTGAATGACATACACAATTATTATCAGGTATAAGGATCAAGCAACTCAATATCTGATGGAGAGTCATAGTATTTTCATGCACCCACGTTCATTAGTCCTATAATGCCACCCCTGACCAGCATCTGAACTAGGATTGCGCCTGTGAATTTGCAGGGATATAAAATAAAGCACAGACACAATTTACCTTTACACAAGCTTCAGGACGGCTTCCCTAGCCCTCCTTCTAACCATAGTAGGGCAGAAGGGGAAGGACTACAAGGGAACAGGTTAGTGTAACTCAACCTTAGGGGCACACCCACAAAGAAGACCTCCTTGCTATCGAAGCCAGTCTCCGACCAAGCCACAAGAAATGTAGTGGTTGGTCAGAATCTGACACATCAGGACTGCAGGGCGTAGTCAATTCAGTGTGGCTCCCCACACTGTAATCTAAGATTCTTTTAAATATTGGCAATTTCTATTTCACAGAGGTATGTTAATTAAATTGACAAGGATTCTCCATCTAGGACAACTCAGAAAGTAGGATTCTTTGACTTTCTATGGACTTCTGCCCCCGAGCCATCAGTTGCTTCTCACTATTGCCCCAACCACCACTTAGGAAGAGTTGTACCTCTGCCTGCTCTCTGCATCCCTAAATCTGATGGCTCATATCCCAAAGTAGAAGGAAATCTGGGCCATAGGACTGGGGTCTGCCTAAGCCAGGAATGAAGGAGAACATGATAAGTTCTTAATTGTTTGTATGACCATTTTCCTATGAAACCATAAACTCCTCAAGGACAAGAACAACGACTATTCACTTTATATCCAAAGTTCCTGCCACAGTACAGGGCCTGTAGGGAAGCACTTAATCAGTGTTCAATGTTGTTAGTGAACAAATGATAGGGTTTGAGTATCACTGATTGGGGAAGGAAAATAGCACAGGGAAAACCTTCTGGATGTCTAAGAGGATTACAGCCGAGGGATAAGAGCTAGAGGGATAGGGAGAGGTGATAGGATTAAAGGAAGGGAGGAAAAGTGTTAAGAAGGCAAGTCCAATGGACTTTAAACTGTGGTGACCACCGTGAGAGCCCATTAGGAAGATAATTTGCTACTTGTAATAAATTAGAAATAGGCATTCAACACGACACTGATTATCATCCCTCTGGCTCCTTCATCCCTAAATCAAATGAACAAAGCTGATCATACAGAAACTGAGCTGATATAACAAAATCCCATAGATTGGCTTGTAAATATCAGAAATTTATTTCTCACAATTCTGAAGGCTGGGAAGTCCAAGATCAAGGTGAAGACCCACTTCCTGATTCATAGATGCTGCCTTTTTGTCCCCAACATGGTGGAAGGGATGAGGGAGCTTTCTCTAAGATCCTTTTTTTTATAAGGGTACTAATCTCATTCTTGAGGACTCCACCTTCATGACCTAATCACCACCAAATACTATTACATTGAGAATTAGGTTTTAACCAAATGTATTTCAAATGTAAGGGGGAAAAAGTCAACATTCCTTTTTTTTTTTTTATTTCCCATGTAACAAACAGATCTAAGCTCAATAGTTTCTTATCTGCTGGAATTCCCTCAAACCTTTTATTAATCAATAGGAACTAACATCCTAAAACATGTTAGTACCTTAGGAAATGTGACAGATTATTGTAATTCTCTAACTATTAATAATAATTGTGGTGTGATAGTTCAAATGCCTGTATGGGGGCCAGGGTAGCAAAAAGTCCTGGGAGATGGGCCCTGCCTGCCCTGCTTTGAGAGGCATAACAGCAGGGTTGGGTGAATTGGTATGACTGGAAAACAAGTACTTGCAAAATGGCAGCTGAATTAAAGTAAAAAAAAAAAAAAA